CTCGATTCATAATTAATTGCAGTGGCCTGGCAAACATAAGTAAACAACTCAACAACTGCCGATACACAGTAACTCTCGATTGAATAAAATGTAATAGAATGCACATCATGTTGCTCATAATTCCTGACGGGTGCTTGAAACGTACTGAGTGGAACACTATGTTTTATCTCACTTGTCAGGATCATATCCCTACTCGCTTCAAGAGCCCGATTTCCATGAGTGTACTTCTACTTCCTTGGCAATTGAAGGTGCTGTGTGTAAGTTTTTTGGCTTTTGCTCCATATTCGCTCAAACGATGTTTAACAGTTAACTATAGCTAGTTTAAATTATAACCACGCATGTCTGAGCCATGGATGGAGCAATAACTGCGCTTGAGTGACTCTCATGAGCCATCGGACAACACTGATTTAATGTACACATATTAACGACTACGAGTCAATGAGTGGCTCCTCCTCAAGTAGGTCGCGATTACACAGAGAGGTCTTGAAAGGGAAGTTTAGAAGCTCTTCTGTCTCATGACGTGCGTCAAGTTCTACATGTTTACATATAGCACTTTTAAAATAGTCGTATTTTATTTATGCTATCAACAAACTGTCACCAGTCGATAGCTGGACTGCACAGTAAGAGAGCTGAATTGAGAAAACTTGGTTTTCAGCTTTGTGGCTTTCAAAATATAAAAACTCTGCTAGTATCAAGTGGCAAGGAAACCAGATTTGCAATGCTCTCTGCCATCAGACTTCCTCTATATGGTTTGGCAATCATTCCCAAGACCTCGACTGACGTTACTATAAATAAAACCTAGAGATATAAAAAAAAAAACACAAATTTACTATTCTTATTGTGGGCTTCTAATAGTCAAATGTGTTTAACATCTCCCATGTTTGAGAGAATAATAGATTGATACTGGTGGTGTGCTTCTCAACAAAACCATTTCACTAACCGGTGTACACTGCAAGGATTTATCTGGCAGTGTTGTTGTGTGCGTATTAATATTTGTAGCTATGTGCCGCTAGTCTGAGAGTCTCTCGATAAGTTGCGTTCAATGAGTCAAGATAAGTAGTGATAGGCTTATGAGAAACCTAGAGCTCTCAGATTAGAGATCCAAGTCATGCTATTTGTTAAAAGAAATCTTGATCAGTCTCCCTACTTGATCCGGACACCATCTAAATTAGGTGAATATCAAATAAATGGGTACACAGAAGAAAGCCCTCTTATTCATACTCTAACAACAATTCGACTAAGCAACACATTTATTTAAATACTTACACAATTGAAGTGAACGTATGATAAGAATCATGTACTGGTGACCGCGTCTTCCATATCGTGGAGCCATGTCCGAATGAGACAATATGTCCGTAGATCTCAGGTCTTGAGAGTTTTTTGATGTAAATTTCTGAGGCCTCTTGCATCGAGTAAAAGCCCTAGAGCGCCTACATTATGAAATTTTATCACTATTTAGAGATATGTAATATGTTATTATGATAAGAGGGCATGTTCGCGCCTGGTTCAATGTGTCATTAGGAGTCAAGCGCCGTGTGTATATGAGAGGTCATAAAGAGAACAAGGTTAGAAGTATATACGCTATGTATATAAGTTTTTTATTTTTTGAGCGAAGAACCGGTCCCTCAGAAGACAACATAACAACTGGATCTGAGTCAGTTTAAGGGCATTTGATTACACCACACACTGCTTATGACCATGGTATACATCTTCACGTGATAAAAACATGTAACTATAGTTGTTAAAACTATGAAGGCTGGTAGGAAAAAGTTAAAGGATGGCAAAAATATAGAAGTCAGGACATAAACAGCTGTAGGTGCCTTTACCTGACTCTGCTCTCATTTCTGCCATTCCATCCACTGCACATCAGATTCTACACTATTTCCCGATTTTGCTATGCACACTGTAGCAGTTCTCACGTAGCACGCACTATTATTACGAACCCTTGTCAACCATTGGACGCCTTTGCAAAACCCACAAGCAAATTGTATTTTATTCATAATTTTTTCTTGGGGCTTTGCCAACACAACATCTCAACTTAAACGCAAATTCTTTGGTTGCTTGTAAACCTTTTGGAAAGAAGGAGGCACGGTAGGCGCTTCTTCTCTTGTATATGGCGAGCATCGAAGAGGTGGATAATTGTCTGAGAGCGAGTTGTCATCAACTGTGTTATGATGTCGTGGTTGATTGGTTAGCTCTTAATGGTGTTTTTCACACCTGATTGTGTGTTGACGTCAGCTGCGGCACTGTGGTGATTCTCATGCGCACTGCCTTGAAAGAAATAAGAACGCTGGGATGAAGTGGGGAAAAACAGGGCAGCGCACGAATATCAGGCCAGTCCAGATTTAGGTCGAGGTCTCTGGAGTTTCCGTGAAAATGAGGTGATCTTTGGCGTCAGAATTTTGTGAGATTGTTAGAGATGTTTTGATTTCCATGTTCTCGATCACAAATAGCTTGTAGGATGAATAGATATATTATAATGACTTTTTTTTTCTATTTAAACAGCAATTATTCTAATTTTGTGGGTGACAAAGGTGTTTACGCGATGGACACTGTGGGCTAGATAAGCAGTCAACGCATACATGTATAGTTGCTAGGTTCAAATAGCTATCGGCCCAGACAATAAATCTCTGAGCTATCTGTGTGGGGATGGTGCACTATGGGTTTCCTCTGGGTGATTCGCGGCTTCCTCCCACAGGTGCCGATGACAAATGCATGGTTTCTCTCATAGGGCAGATATAGAGACGTACGCGCGCTATTAGTTCCCCACATAGTGAGAAAATAATAACACTAATGTGAATAGGTGATGAGTTATTTATGAGTTTCAGGCAAATCGATATGGCAACATGTATATGCTGATCAGCTAGTGAACAACAATACACGATAGTGATGAACTGTGTCCTCAGACACAAAAAGAAGGAAATGAGCAAATCAAGTGAGGCCAGACCATGTAGATGATTTGGCAAAGGCAAAGCAATGGGTCCAGGCAAGCAGCAGTCTGGCATTTAAGTCTGCATTCAGGAAAAACATGGTGAAAATCTTATACACAACTGGCAAAAGTACCTCAAAGGGGATAACTCTCCTACATTACTAAAATATGTTTTGTTACCTTGCTTAATCCGCGGCCCTGGATTAAAGGTGACAGTGGAGAGGTCAGCAGGCCAACTATTCTGGCTCACATTGGAGGGAAAGACGAGGGCTGAATTTCCTAAAAGGGTTAAATAATTTTATTTTGTTAGTGATAGGCCTACATTTATCAAACTAAACAGTAATACTATTATGGCCTACCTTTTCAACACGGAGGCAGAGAGCATTATATCAGACAGGCTCGATCAGGACACAATCTCTCTACATCTGAGTATGCAAGAAATCTCATTAGATTTCCGATCCCCAGCTCTCCCATACCTGCACACACCAAGCAGTCCTACCACAGATCAAACAGGATTCAGACAAAGAGGCAGTGATGTCCTTATAAAGGCAGGAAAACTCTCCTTAACCAAACTATAAAGGGCAACGTTCTTCACCTAGCATGTCAGCCCTCACACATGTACAATATCTGTTGGGTGAGGGGAGCAGCTCATTGGCTGGCAGTTCCTTCTCTTTGACAACAAGCAGACAATTAGCTGTGTCCTGATACAGTATGGAAAACAATCTGTTAACATGCACAAAAATCTTCTATGGATGTAAAACCATTGCTATTCAGCCTGAATTAATCACCTTGAACATATTTTAAAATGGGTGTTCAGTACAAGCATATATCAACATAGCCACATCCAAATAACAAAGCTTGTCAAGATTTTCATTCTGGAAAAGCATTTAATGGTGTGACATGTGCAACCAAATGCACTTTCTCAACTCTGTATCCACTTTCAAAACAACATCCATATCAACATAAATACTCTCTGTTCACTATGTGCCATGGACCAACACATCAGTGCTAATATTAGCTTATAAATTCTGGGCGTTTTTATTATGTGACAGTTGTGTCACAGATTTAATTGACACCATGCAGCTGCTTTGCTCAGACAGAAATCCACATCTGATTAAAATTACAATTTATTTGTTGGTACAAAAGTGATGATGCTTAGTTTACAACTGGCTGTTGGCAGGTTACTTGGTTATAGGTAAAAAACAATGTTAATTTGATATAACTGGAATATTGCTACTGAGCATATAATAATATGTATATATTTATATATTATATTATATTATCTAGTATACTATATTATGACTTGTATATATATATATATATATATATATATGTATATTATTATGACTTGATGCTTCCATGCGTTCATAATCACCTAAAGGAGTCTGATAAGCTTCATGAAAAGTGTTTCTGTTGCATTGTATTCTCCTGACCTGCTGATGTGTGTGTTTGTCCAGAACACCAAGTAGCGATCTTGGGTTTGAGTCACCAACAGACGGAGAGCCAGGATTGTCCGGTCAGTCACATTAATTTTCTCTGCCTTATTACTTAAAAGCCTGAAGCCGAAGTGATGTTTCACTGACTACATGTGGAAAACAAACTGGTACAGAGTAAATTATAGTTCATTCTAAACAGTCTTATGCAAAATGATTTTCCACATATTTGTTGTGCATGATCCTAAATAAAAGTGTTTCTCTTTTTCTCTGAAATCTATACAGTGTTTTTTGTTTCAGAGAAATGATGGATTTGACTTTACAAACCATGAACACACTGTAAAATAGAATATAAGACTTGATCATAAATGACTTCAGCGCTCATTTTGCTTGAGTGATTGTTTGTGCTCCATGTCTTTCATTTGAAAATAGATGAGAGCATTTTCACTGGAGTCTGTGCTATCCACTGTTTGAGAAGACATTCTCCACTGATGTTATGGATGGAGAAACTTTATTTAAAAATAACTATAAAACAAGAAAAGAAAACCTTCTCACACTTTATGGGACAGCATCTCCCAGAAATTTAATGTTTCTTTATTTGACATACAGTATGTCTATCCTGGTGATGTAGAACAAGGATGGACCAGGTGAACATAGAAATAAAGAAATGTTTATATAATTCCGTAGTTTAGCAGAGGTAACTTTGAAGGTTTTTTGTTGCAAAACACAGAATCACCTACATAGAAAATAGTGCTGCCTGAGACAGAACTCAGAGGAAACAGTACCCTGGTACTCTGGTACTGTAACCATTCAGCAAAAGTGAGAGCTAATAGCATTTGATATTGAGAAATTGAAGGAGTAGCAACATAGTGAGCTGAAGTCATGACAGCACATACAGGTTAGCTTCTGTTCCACCAGCTTCTTTATCCCAATGCAATCTCTCATTTTCTATCATCCATCTTCCTGAAAAGTGACATACTGGCTCCAAAGTGGCTCCAAAGTGAGCCAGATGTTCTGCTGTAGAGACCAAAGGTCTCAAAGGTGGGATTTTTAGTGGTTAGTGGTTAGTGTAGTTACAAATATCAGATGGATTTGAATTAGATTTTCTTACTTCTGGAATAGACTCTAGAGGTTTTGATTTTACTTTGCTCTCTACAGCGGGAAAAGGGGAGGCCACATTTCTGACACACAGATCAGCTGGATATCAGTCACAGAAAAAATACACTGCAGTCAAAACCAAAGTCTTCTCAATGGAAATAGCAAATGAAACAAAGCATGCAAGGTAGCTTAGGTAATCAACTGGAGACAGGTGCTTCAATCATGTGGCATGCTGCAGCATGTATCTAACGCTCCTTTTTAGTTATGGCAGACAATTTGAGCTGTCAGAGCTGCAGGGTCATAACCTAGACGCCAAATGTTAATGCTGTATATATTTTTCAGTTACTTGATAATCCAGTCTGTGTGAGTTGGCTTCAGAGGATACATACACAGCCTATATATGTATCCCCAGTAGCTTTGTTTGGTCCCATAAGGTCAGTATTAAACACATTTATTTTTGATTTTGTTCACCTTGTGGTTCTGTCTCATTAGCAGGAGGAATGTGTCCTTCCTTCAGCAAAACTGAAGGAAAAACACATTAATGTCATCCAGCAGCTGGAACAAACCATAGAGGACCTCAGGACTAAGATCGCTGAGCTGGAGCGACAGTCCCCTCTGCTGGACAGGGGTAGTATGAAACCCTTCACCACCACCACAGATAAGGAATGTGGGGGAGAGGAGGGCTTACTGAGGGTTGTGTGTGACGCTCACCTGCAGACGGAGGCAACTCACTTCCTGGACTGCCTGGAGGCTAAGTCGGTGCAGACGTCGCCCATGGATGACAGCTTTAAGTTCAAAGTGCCTTGTAGTGAATTGGATGGAGTGAACAGCTTCCTACAGCCCTCACCAAGGCAGGATGGCTACCAATGTTCATGTCAGCAGCAGCCTTCTCCCCTTCCAGGAGGAGCAGTACCTCCTCATCCAGGCCAGACTGTGGTACCTCCTCCAGCACCACCTCCTCCAGTAGGCTTAATGCCAGCTCTGCCACCACCTCCTCCTCCTCCTCCCCTTCCTGGTGGCCTTGTCCTACCCCCACCCCCTCCTCTCCCTGGTGGGATTGCTCCACCCCCACCTCCTCCTCCTCCTCCTCCTCCTCCTCCTCCTCCTCCCCTTCCCGGTGGCCTTGTCCCACCCCCACCCCCTCCTCTCCCAGGTGGCATTGCCCCTCCTCCTCCTCCTCCATTACCAGGCCTTGGATGCCCACCTCCTCCACCACCTCCTCCACCACCACCTCCAGGCTGTGGACCTCCTCCTCCTCCTCCACCAGGAGCCATCTGTGTTTGTCCAGCTCTTCCAGGTTCCCTGGGCTCCCTGCCTCCTCCTCTGCCGTTGGGGCTATATGCTTTGGGTTTGACTCAGGAGAAACCACCCAGGAAGGCTATGGTGGAGCCGCCCAGACCCATGAAGCCACTCTACTGGACCAGGATCCAGCTGCACACCAAAAAGTAAAACCCCTATGATTGCCTTAAAATGATGCTGCAATTTTTTTTATTTGCATCTTGAGTACAAATATGATATGTGGTAGATAAGGGAAGAAATGGTGCAAAGCAAGAAGGGACTGTTTAAAGACATGATCTGATATGATTTGAGTTTGGCGTTAAAGATTTTGATTGTGTCCTGTCCTACTAAAGATAGCTGTAGACATTATAATCTTAAAGATATGGTTGCTGTTATTGTATGTTTTTTATTGTCAACAAACCCCATGAAAAGACCCAAACCAACAATGTGTTAGTGCATCTCTCAACATTTTCTGACTTTCCTCCTGCCTGTGGCGCTCAGCTCCAAACACACTGGTTCCTTTTGAGGATGTAAATCTCTAAGAACAGCTCACAAATATATAGTTTAATTTGTGACTAGAGTAGAGTAACAGTGTGGCTCACTTATGTGTTTTTAATAGTTTTTGGAGACAATGAAGCTCTGTGGCTCAGACCAGATACATCTGTATCTGACAGAAAATTGGTTTGCATTTGTTTTTGGGTACACCCAGAGATGAGCATGTTTTTTTCTTTTGGTCACATTCATGTTTGCCCAGTGTTTGCCCAGTGTGTGCAGCCTTGGATTCTTATATTTCAGAGCTTCTTGCCAGCATGTGGATGCACCCTCTATCTGATATTAATATTATGTTCAGTGGTAGATGTTTTAAGTGAGTGTGCATCCTCAACTGCATTTAAACTCAATTGGCTACAGTAAAGCAAAGAAAGATATGTGTGCCACAATTATTGTTAAATCAGAGACTATATGCACGACAAGACAAAGAATGAATGACTCTCAACAGGGTTTAAGTGCCACTTGTAAGCTCCACTTTGTGTTTCTCAGGGAGGTTTCTTCTTCGTTGGTGTGGGAGACAATTGAGGAGCCTGATGTGGACTTTGATGAGTTTGTAGAGTTATTCTCGAAAACAGCTGTAAAGGAGAAGAAGCAGCCACTCTCTGACACCATCACCAAGTCTAAGACCAAACAGGTCTGTATCCTTAAGTGTTTTTACATACATGTACAAGTAGTATAGTCAATTATAAAGGTTTTTTCATTGTTCCTTCTTAAAAGTTAAACATTTGATCTGGCAAGTGGGAGTTAGTTAAATCCAGGTAGAATGAAGGTACAATAAAGGACTCTAATGGTTAAATCTTAATATTGACTTTTGCCTCAGTGTGTCTGTCAGGACACATAAACAAGACCCAGAATACTATCTCAACTTTATTTGAAGGCACAGTAATTCACAGATATATAACAGTCGGGATTTGTTCCACTACACAAGTAGACGCAAACAGTACATTTATTTTTTCATTTAAACAATGATTTAAAAAAAAATCAACATTCAAGTTGGTTAGTTTAAGCAACTCAGAACATTTGAGTACTGACCTTATAAATTTGCCTGGGTACAGTTGCGGCATCATATTTGATACCATATTTGTGGAAATGCTGCAAAAAATCAAATCCAAACCAGTAATACAATTCAATTCAATTCAATTCAATTCAATTCAATTCAATTCAATTCAATTCAATTGTGTAGTGCCAAGTCACAATATACATTATCTCAAGACAAGGTCAAGACCATACAATATTATAAGAGACACACTGCATCAGCTGCTATGACAAAACTACATGTAATGACATGCTTTTGAGTCTGACCTTGAATTTCTTTGTTTTCAGGTAGTGAAGCTGCTGAACAACAAGCGTTCTCAGGCAGTGGGAATACTCATGTCCTCTCTGCACCTTGATATGAAAGACATCCAGCATGGTGAGTTCATCAGCTGTGCTTAGTGTGATAGCTTGATATACATGTAGAGTAAGACAGGGCTGGTTCTTCTTGCTCATTAAATGTTTCCTCTCAGTCTTCTGCAGCTTTTCTACCTTCACCTTGTTTCCTTTCATCACATTATTTTTCATTCCTGTGATTAGTTGTCAGAGACCTCTGTCTGTCTCTTTGTCTCTGTCTCTGTCTCTCTCTCTATCTCTTTCTCTCAGCCATCCTGAACTTGGACAACACTGTAGTGGACCTGGAGACTCTGCAGGCGCTATATGAGAATGTGAGCAATGCACACTCTTCACAGTCTGTCAGTCTGATAACTTATGGTTATACGGTTATATGTGTCTGTTATTATGCTTAGAATCGTGAATTACTGGGTAATTTGAAATGTAGCCCAGTGGAGCACGGTGGCTGGACAGTAAGAGAACAGCACTCAGATAAACTGTGAAGAAAGAGAAAGTGACGGGGACATTCCCACCCCATTCCCACCGGAAAATATATATTTTGGAAATGACACATGAAGTAAATAAAAGATTAAAGAAAGTGATTCAACATTTCCTTCTTGAAAAGCACGTTTGGGCATTAGAATGTTTCACAGCTGGAGTTCTGGTTTCTTTCAATTCGTGCCATGCAATTTCACTTCCTCTTAGTTTAACCAAAAGCACGTTCTCTATAGTCAGCGTCAGTATAGCGTATACCCTCTAGTGTTGTAATGTATACACCACAGATGAATTGAATGAGGACAGAGAAGGAGTCACTCTCTTGCGTCTCTTCTCTCCCACAGAGGGCACAGCAGGAAGAGCTGGACAAGATTGAAAAGCACATCAAGTCCACTAAAGATAAAGAGAACGCTAAACCTCTGGACAAACCTGAGCAGTGAGTTCTTCCTCTGACGTTTCAACACTAATGAGCAGACATGCTGGTGAATGCTGTGTGTCACTCTGTACACAGGAGAAAATTAGAGAGTCAGTATACCAGTGATAGGAGATCAATGCTGGTGCCAAAGCAGCCTGTGTTTGACATGTGTTGCAGGTTTCTCTACCAGCTCTCTGTGATCCCAAACTTCTCTGGCAGAGTTTTCTGCATCCTTTTCCAATCCAGCTTCTCTGAGTGCATGTCATCTATAATGAGGAAACTGGACACACTGCAGAGGGTATGCAAGGTGAGTCAAAACCTGTTTGTTACTGATCACTTAAAGTTGACTGTGCACTGGTTTTTCTTCAGCATGAACTCAACACAGCACAGCCTCTCTGTGCATGATAGAAATATGTTTTAGGGTTTTGGCACATTTACAGTATGTCTTTTCTACCGTTGTGTGTTAGCTTTATCTCTGCCTCCATCCTCATTCTCTCCATTCTCTCACATACTCTGCAGGCCTTACAGGACAGTGAGACAGTGAAGCAGGTTCTAGGTCTGGTTCTGGCCTTTGGTAACTTCATGAATGGTGGTAATCGAACCAGAGGCCAAGCTGATGGCTTCACCCTAGACATCCTGCCCAAACTCAAAGATGTCAAGAGCAGCGTGAGTAAAGAGGGAAAGATACTGAATAAAATGTTGCTCTTCAATCCTGGACCTGGCTTCTTACAGCCTTATGTGCTGATTATACTATTTGTACCATTTAAATACTATGTGTTAACAGAATAATTTATATTATATGTAACATGTATCTTCTTGGTAGTTTGTGATGTTGCTTGTTATTCATAGATGTATCCAGAACGTAAGTGAATCTATGCAGAGTTAGGGACGTGAGTCTCTCTCCAATGTGTGCTTCAGGTAGCTTGGAGGTAAAATGTACAGAAATTATTCTTTTTATGCTGCCCAGCTGTGTCAGCTCAGTTCCAGACAGCCATGTTACCTTTGTTATGTCTGCAGAAACATTCTGGGAGTAACATTTTATTCAGTCATTCTCCATCATAGCCAAAAGGCACTGACAGAGCAATGTGGCTTTTCTGTCGCTGTGCTCTCGTTTTTGTATCTTCCATCTATTCTTGTGTAAACAGTCATTATCAACAATTTGCAGTATCCCCTTAACCCTTGGTATACAGCCAATCAACCAAGGCTGTATACCAAATTTGGTACTGATAAAGTCAAAATTCGAAAAGTTCTATTAATTTGACTGTTTTTAATGTTATGCTAATTAGCTCTGCAAATTGAGCAAAGGCTTAAGATGGCATATATTGAAAATAGTGGCCTCCATAACATGTGTACCAATTTTGGTGAAAATGTGTTCTACCAATTTTGAGATACGTATTTTTGGCATTTATGGTGCCTCCTAGAGGTCAGGCTCAAAATGCTTTGGTAAGCCTACTCCCTGTCCTGTCCCGAAGATATCAACCAAGTCTCATGATGATCGGACCAATGTTAAATGAGTTATGGCCAATATTAGCTTAGCCCCGCCTTTTGCGAAGATATTTTTGTTGATGGCGGCCATGTTTTATGACCGATCTTGCTCCATTATAAAATAAATTTGTATATTCATCTCTCAAGGTGGTCTACCAAATTTGGTGTTTCTACTCTCAAAATTCATAAAGTTCTATTCATTTTACTGTGTTTCAAATTATGCAAATTAGCAAAAAAATTATTCAGACGGACTTCAATAGTTTAATTGCCTTTTTGTAGAGCACATGGAGCTATACAGATGTGTCAAATTTCAAATTAATCAGACAAATGGTGTGAGGGGCATGGCCTTTCCAAAATTTTATATTAAATCCTTGATTACAGCGCAACCATTTGGGTGATTGTGGTCATACTTCTTGGGCCAGTACGTACATCATTTTCAGTTAGTTGGCCAAGTTTTGTTTTTCTCGCTCATTCCAGCTCACAGCAATTTGATCTGTGACAGAAGACAAATAATAATAATAATTGTAGCCGCAAGCGGCAATTCACAGGTTCGAACCGTTTTGCACTCACATGAGGGAAGCAGACAAATTTTAGCTAATTAATTCTAATTAATTAGTTATATTCCCTATAATAACCTGAAGATACCAACCAAGTTTTATGATGATCGGACAAACAGTAAATGTTGGCCATGTTTTTTGACCGATCTCGCTCATTTGTGATAAAAATCTGCCTCTCAGTCACACGAGGCAGTATACCAAATTTGGTATTGATAAAGTAAAAGTTTTATTTATTTTACTGTTTTTAATGTTATGCTAATAGGCTCAAAATTCACATTGGTAGTTGTTATTATCACAGAGGCTTTTTTTGTACAGAATATTGACCTGTAGCTGAGAGGTAAATTTGAAGAAGATGGGCCTCCTGGTCTGCCTTTTAAATTTTTTACAATTTAGACTCTTAATTATAGCACCACCACATGGCTGAATGTGACAATATGTTTTGTGAAGCATTTACACACCATTTGGAGTTATGATATTCTGCAAATTGAGCAAAGGCTTAAGATGGCACATATTGATGAATAGGCCCCACTCACTTTCATCAATCAATATGGCACTTCAGATTTTTTGACTAATCTTGTTCATTTATAATAGAAATTTGTATATTCATCCCTCATGCTGGTCTACCCAATTTGATGTTTCTACTCTCAAAATTTCTAGTTCTATTAATTTTACTGTTTAATATTCAAATTGGCAAAAAGTATATCCAGGTGCATTTTAATGGTCCAAGGGCTTTTTTGTAGAGCACATTGAGCTGGACTTGTGTAGCAAATTTCAAGTCAATTAGACAAATGGTGTGAGGGGCGTGACCTTTTGAAAATGACTTTTCCTGAGCCTTAATAACAACGCCACCTGTGGCCGACTGACTCATACTTTTTGAGCCAATAGTGCACATCATTTCCAGTTATGTAGCAAAGTTTAGTGTTTCCCGCTCATTCCAGCTCACAGCATATGAAATCCTTGATTACAGCGCCACCATTTGGTTGATTGTGGTCATACTTCTTGGGCTAGTGGTGTGCATCATTTCCAGTTGTTTGGCCAAGTTTCGTGTTTTTTGCTCATTACAACTCACAGCAATTTGACAGATTTGGCAGAAGACAAATAATAATAATAAACCTGATCACCTGGTGAAAATCTCTTCACCAGATTTTAAGATACATACTTTTTATGATTGCAGTCATACCTCTTGGGCTAGTAGCAGACATCATTTCCAGTTGTTTGGCCAAGTTTTTGTGTTCACCAGATTTTGAGTTACATATTTTTGGTATTTATGGCGCCCCCTAAGGGTCAGGCTCAAAATTCTTCAGTAGCTCCACTCCCCGCTTCACTCTGAAAATATGGACCAAGTTTCATGATGATTGGATCAATGGTTAATGAGTTATGGCCAATATTAGCTAAGCCCCGCCCTTTGCAAAGATCTTTTGGACGATGGCAGCCATGTTTTTTGACCAATCTTGCTCATTTATGAAAGAAATCTGTCTGTCGGTCCCCCAAGGCTGTCTGCCAAATTTGGTGTTGCTAAACTTAAAATTCATAAAGTTCTATTAATTTTACTGTTTTTCAGATTATGCAAATTAGCAAAAAAGAAGATACCAAGTTTTATGATGATTGCAAAAATGGTTGATTTGCCCCACCTTTTGCAAAGATATTTTGGTTGGTGCTAGCCACGTTTATTGACCAATCTTGCTCATTTATAGTAGAAATTTGTATTTTCAACCCCCAACGCTTTATACCAAATTTGATTTTGTTAAAATTCATAAAGTTCAATTAATTTAACTGTTTTTCAAATTATGCAAATTGACAAAAAAAATTTAAGAAGGACTTTTATGGTTCAATGGATTTTTTTATAGAGCACATTGAGCTGGACATGTGTATCATGTTAGGATCATCATTTTCTTGAAACCAACTTCTGCACTCCTGAAAACTGATGTTTTTTTGTTTTCTCTTCAAATGCAGGACAGCACAAAAAGTCTTTTGTCCTACATTGTTGCATACTACCTCAGACATTTTGATGAGGTAAGCTGTTTTGCTGTCATACTATCTCTCCTTTCTTCCTGATTTCCCTTTTAACCTTATTCTTTGCTGTGTTGTTGTGTTTGCCTCCAAGTGGATTCTTACATAATTAATACATGTGTGTGTGTCTCTGTCTCTAGGATGCTGGCAGGGAGTCGTGCTTGTATCCTCTCCCTGAGCCTCACGATTTGTTCCAGGCTTCTCAGATGAAGTTTGAAGACTTTCAGAAAGACCTGACTCGACTCAGGAAGGATCTTAGAGGTAACAAACAAACAAACAAACACACACACGAACGCATGCACGCAAACACACACACACACACACACACACACACACACACACACACACACACACACACACACACACACACAGTCCTTCCTCAGTCCTCGGTCCTTCTTGCTACAAATTAAGCAAATCTCCAGTTTTACTTCTGTATGCAACTTGCCACTTTTCCACCGTAAATAGATCAATACTGGCAAGCAAAAGTAAAATATATCTTCCTCCTAATAAATTACTAAAAAGCTCAGGATCTTCTCTGTCCAGGACAAAAGTGCTCAACATAATGACATGCTCCTGAGAGAGGAGACCTTACATTAAAGACAAAAATGACATGCTGGTTCTCAGAGGTAAAGTGTAGCTAAACATTAAATATTGCATGTTATATAAATGTGACAGCTCATACTTTTATTTAACGTTTCCTTTTTTGTTTCCATCAAAAACGTACAGCATCCAACCATATTGATGACTATACATGAGCCATATTGTATTTTATTTGTGTTTACTTTGTATAGTGTGTAGTTTTTCATGTTTCATGCTTGTACATCTTGACCTGACTGTAGTTTTTCTTTATTATTTTGTCAGCTTGTACATCAGAAGTGGACAAAGTATGTAAAGTTTCAGATGAGGATAACTTGCAGCCTTTCAAAGACAAGATGGAGGACTTCCTAACACAAGGTAACTGACAAAAAACCTTGAATGTATTAAGACAGGTGCAGCAAGTCAGCCCCTGCTAATTTGTTCCAGTGGCCAATGTCAGTATTGCAACAAAAAGTATGTTATGTAGCAGAATCCGATTCAACAGGAGGGGTCCGTTAAACTGTTGACAGGGTACCCAGATGTTACACTCTGTACTATGACTTTTCAAACTGTCAAGGTTTAATGCTCTTTCCCATGGTTTAGAAAAACTACCGTTATACTGGTTGTGCTGCATCATATTCATATCTTTGGCACAAGAAGGCATATTCAGGGAAAGAGGTACTATTTAGCATGTACAGTGGGCCACACATCACAGAAGTGGACCAGGAAGAAAGGAATTTCTTCTTGCTATTTAACATTTCTCTGGAATGAATGGGCAGCAGCTGCGGACAACAAACCCTCAGACTTGTTTGTTTTGACCTTTTGTATTAATTCTTTCCTTTTTAGCTAAAAGTGAACTGGAGACTCTGGAAGCTCAACTCAGCAGCACTCACAAACTGTAAGAACAACCTCCTTTATTTCTTGTATTTCAACTGTCTAAATGCCATTGCCAGAGTGGGGTTTCTATACCAGGTACTGGTACTAGGTACTAGGTACTGAGGAGTGACCAGTACACTTCATAAATCCATAAGAAAGAAGATTTTTCTGAAGAGGCCTAGGATGGGATTGTTTCCCATCCTAGATATTATGATTGGCTAAAGGGTGTGAATAACTTCTGTTAACAGCACAGCTCTGATGTGTTCATATCAGCAGTCCAAATGAATCTCCACTGCACTGCCTGACCATTTCAGCTCCCTCTAATTGTTGGAGTGGTTATTCCAAAGCTGGTGACGACACAAATTTAAATACTGCATTGCCCCAAAATATGAATATAAAACTATGCTTATAACTTCCCTGGCAAGTATCCATGAAATGGGATCATTTTCACTAAAATGTGCAATTATGAAAAATGTTTGTCATATATATCATTCAGTCAGAGCCCCTTCCTGAAGCTAGTGCCTGGTTGTTTGCTTCAAGTCATTGTGGTGCTGAATTAAGAGTCTGAAGACTTTTGGAAATTAGATATTTCAGTTTTTGATCAGTCATTTTTCAGAAATTTCTAGAAATTTAACTTTGTCATTATGGATTATTATGTATAGACTGACAGGTACAATTTCATAGGCAATTTTATCCATTTAAAATGAAATCTACAACACAGTGAATCTGGATCTGGACCCGGACCTATAATTTACTGAGAAATATTAAATTTTGATGAAGCGTTTCTATTTTAACCAGTGAATTGAGGTGACTTTGTGTCCTGTCAGGTTCCTGGAGCTCACAGTGTTCTTCTCAGTGAAGACCAAGGCAGGAGAGAAGGAGGTTTCACCCAACACACTCTTCTGCATCTGGCACGAGTTCTCCTCTGACTTCAAGGACCAGTGGAAGAGGGAGAACAAGGCCATTCTCAAGGAAAGGTACATTATCACATCCTGCTACAACCTGTTTTCTTTCACATTTAAATAGCATATAGTGCCTTGGATGCAAAATTAACACCAATCAAATGGATGTTATTGAGTGTATGTGTATGTATGTAACATGTGTATTGCGCAGGTTAAAAGCAGCAGAGGAAAGTTTCCGTCAGGCCAAGGAGAAGGCTTCCTACAGCGTCAAACCTAAACACGCCTCTGGCATCGTAAGTTCACCTCTCTTCATAATTTTTATGGTTTCAGCAACCTGAAGGTCAGTGGATCAATCTTTTAATCTGAAGAAAAAAAGAGCTAATAATTATCATAATAGCAACAAAGAGTATCATTGACAAAGACATTAACATTCATCAAGCACTTTATTAAGAACAACTTTACACCTGGTCATTCATGCAATTATCCAATCAGCCAATCATGTGGAGTGCAGTGTATAAAATCCTGCAGATACTGGTCAGGAGCTTAAGTTAATGTTCACATCAAACATCAGAATGGGGAAAGATATGATCTCGGTGACTTTGACTGTGTCATGATTGTTGCTGTCAGACGCTGGTTCAGTGTTTCTCAAACTGCGGATCTCCTGGATTTTCACACACAACAGTTTTTACTCAGAATGGAGCTAAAAACAAAAAGCATCCAGTGAGCAGAAGCTCTGTTTTGATGAGAGAGGTCAGAGCAGAATGGAAAGACTGGTTGGAGCTGACAGAAAGGCTACAGTCACTCACATAACCACTCTTTACAACTGTGCTGAGCAGAAAAGCTTCTCAGAATGAATAACACCTCCAACCTTTACGTGGAAAGACAGCAGAAGACCCTCTGATCAGCCAAAAATGTGTGGCTGCAGTGGACACAGGCTCATCAACACTGGACAGCTGAAGACCAGAAAATGGTTGCCTGGTCTGATGAAGCTAGATTTCTGCTGAATCAGCAGATAGTAGGGTCAGAGTCAGAGTTTGGCATCAACAACATGAATCCATGCACCCAACCTGCCTTGTGTTAACAGTCCAGGCTGGTGGTGGTGGTGTGATTGTGTGGGGAATATTTTCTTGGCACTTTGAGTCCTTAATACCAATCAATCATGGTGTGAATGTCACAGTCTGAGTGTTTTTGCTGACCATGTTCATCCCTTCATGGCCACAGTTCACCATCTGGTAATGGCTACTTCCAGCAGGACCATGCTCCATGTCACAAAGCAAAAGTCGTTTCAAACTGGTTTCATCAACATCACAGTGAGTTCAGTGAGATTCAACACAGGGGGGTGCAGGGTCAGTGCAAAAGAGCTGAGATGGATGGCCTGGATGCCGGACAGACAGGTAGGGCAGTGCAGGAGGGCAGCCTGGAGGCCAGGCAAACGGACAGAGCCTTTCTGGAGATCATTGGCAAGGCCAGCGGCGAAGACAGGGCCTCTCTGGAGGCCAACAGTGAAGGCAAGTCCCCTCGGGAAGCAGAGCAGAAGGGTGACAGCGGGTCCCCTTGGGAGGCTGAACTAGAGGACGACAGCAAAGGTGAGTCCCCTCTGGAGGCTGAGCAGGAGGGTGAAGCTGATGTTGACTGGACCACTGACTGGAAACCAGGAACTGGTGTTAACCAGACCATAGACTGTGGATCATGAGCAGGGCTCAGCAGGAGTCGTCCCTGTGCCGTCCTAAGAGCTGCCTCTTTGTACTTCTCACAAATATCCATTATTCATGGCATTTCACGGTAAAGAAGCATGGGGGTGTAAGAAAGTTCCTTGATCTCCTTTTCAACAGAAGGGTCTGCTGGGTCCATTATGTTTAGTTCGTTCTGTCATGTTTGAGGGAAAAACTGAACCCAAATGCAAACAACTAAAAAGGGGGTTGGTGGAAAAAGGTCTTTTAGTAACAAAAAGTGACTTACTTACAGAACTCAAAATCGAAAATGGAGGCAAAACCCAGGAACAAAACTGAAACACTAGGGAAACTAATTGGGAGAAAAGCAGGAGCAAAACACAAGCAAAAACAGAAAATCCAAATACACAGGAAACACAGGAGCATGAGATACAGAAAAACTTCACGAATGCAAACAAACAAACTGAGAGACAACAGGGAGCACAGACACTAAAAACACACAAGGGAGCAGACAATCACAGACAAAGACAGTAAGTAAAATGACCACAAGACACACAAGGGAAGTAATTTCAAAGTAAAGTAGGAAATCAACCAAAAGTCCAAACATAAAGAGTTCATCAGGGCGGACTATGACACTACCTTACTTTATAGATATTTTAGATTGAAAATAGAGTAAAAGATTTATTTAAAAAATGTATTGTCATAGATGAAACTCTCCAATAGCAGATTGAAAAAATAGCTACACCTCAACTAGCTTCTTACCCATTTCTGCAGTAATAATAACCCCACAATGTAATATATAATAATACAGCAATGACAGGGGCCTCCTACATGCATGAAAACTGACTTTTTGTATGCTTGCTGATTATATTTCCATACTAATTAGATTTAGAATTCAGGACTTTTACTTGTAATGGAGTATTTTACATTGTGGTATATTACTACCTTTACTGAAGGAATTGAATACTGTTCTACAGTGTAGGCAGCTAGTACCCCTTGCATAATGTTAGGTAATGTAGGATGGTGACCATGGTTAAGTAATGACAATGCCAGTGCTAACTACTCTTACAAGCCAGAAAGTCAAACTGTGCTACCAGTAATGAAAGCAATGAACTTCCATTATTAATCCAACAGTTTGAAAATTCATTTTAATCTGACTGCCACAATCCTTTTGCCAGAAAGCATAAATCTACCTGCTACTTATCCTGACCAAAAAGCTATTGGTCTAAATGTTCATGCACTTTTGTTCTGTTCCAGATGCTGAACATCTGTAATGCACTTACCTGTGTGATGTGTCCTTTCCACAGAAAGCCAAGCTTGGCATGAAGATTTGACTCCATAGACTCAGCAGTGAGTCAAAAAGAAAACAGTATGAAGAGGACAGAAGAGAAAGAGGAAGGGACAGCACAAATGGTGATGGCATGTACTGTATGTGCAGCTGAGCCTGCTCTAGGCATCTTCTTTCATTTATTTATGTTTATCCTGCTCTGTCAGCTTGTCTTACGTTAATTCCTCTCAAGCTGATAACTTAATGCAACACAGTCATGGAAGGATGTTCCTGTAGGAGCCACCAGGCAACAGGAATCATGGACTTTTGGGATCATCACAACTCAGACATATTACATACCTTACACATAGGTGGAAAAACATCACACTGTGTGTGTAGTCTAGTCTAAACAATAACACCACCCAACTATAATCGCCAAAAAATCACCACAAGCTCAGTAATGAAGACTGTTTGTTCAAAATCAGATGGACTGGCCCAAGCAACAATGACATGACTCAGTATTACATTATTAATATTAACTGTCTGACAGGCCACATTGTGTTATTTGAATTCAGCTCAAAGCCACAGCTGTGTGAATCACCCTCCCAGTGCAGAATGCTGAGTCATTCTTGGCTTCAGAAAAAGAAAATATTAATCACTCATGGTTGATTTCGTAACACCTGTGGGTACTGGTGGTAACAGCAGGTATGTTATAACACCGGTCCCAGAGTTCTGTGAATTACAGGCAACAAACACTGGGGGCAGCAAACACACCACAGGCAGCTATCAGAAGAAATAAATATAACAGAAGAAGACAAACCTGCGTACCCATTTAAGACAGTGGTAACACTGAAGTCATGATCTGGTTTCCACAATACTAGAAAAGAATGAATGCACCAGCATTCATCTTCCAGATCTCATCCAGTAAATGAATGTCAAATGTGTCATTTCATCACTTGTCTGTTTAGTTGGGACAACATGCATTTGCCTTACTTTTCTACAAAACTTTCGCCATTTTCATTGCATACATCAACAATAATGGATCTTTGTTGTAAAAGGTGCAAATATGGTTCTACAGTGGTAGCCATAGGAGAGTGATCTGCATTCCCCTCTTTGTGTTACCTCCTCCATGGACGTTACGTTTAAGTGATTAACTTTTGCCATGGATAGTACCATGTGAACATTTATAAAACACTGCACTTTATGTTTTGGCTCATAACCCTTGAACCTCATATGAGCAAAATTTTGTTGATAAAGATAAATGTCAGTATGGGCCCAGATATTTCTGCTTAACAGGTTTTCCCAAAATTTTGAATTTTTTACTGAGTTTTGGAAAACAGTGTTTATCCACTATTTTCTTTTTTAAGATTATTTTCTGCCTTTTTCTGCCATCCAGAGAGATGGGAAATGTGGGGAATGACATGCAGCAAACAGTCCAGCCAAGTATTAAATCTCACCATATCTAAGCTTTTGTTGTTTATTCCAAAATAGCCTCCTAAAACACCTTATCTAACTTTTGTAGGTGTAGTTTAGTTGGCACAACAACGGCATAAATTTCAATGGCCATGACTCAGAGACTACAAGTCTGACTCATGAGTTGTTAATTACCCTTAGACTAAATATTTAGGGAAAACATCTTGGTCACTATCAGATATCAGCATGATTACCCTGTACCATGTTTTTGATTCTAAAATAAAAAAAATAAATAAAAAAAATTGTTTTTTAACGCGTTTTATCGTTAAAATCAAATTTAGAAGTTTGTGCAACTTTGGACCTGAGAGTGTGAAGCTTTCAGACTAGGGCCAGCTTCAGCAGCCACTAATTTAACAGAGGACTGCAGTGATTAGCACTGCTTAGCAGCACTTAAACACTCAAGTAAACAAACAAATAATGGTTGCAGCAATGTCGAAAAGTAACAAAAATGTGGGTTATCCCAAACAGCCATGAACACATCCTTAACAATGCAGTAAATATTCTGTGTGGTCACATTGACATCTCATCACACACTTCATGGACTCTCACATTACCACAATGCTGTTTGTGATTCTACATCCTGACTGTCCAGAATTAGCTTCTATTTAGAAAATCAAACAGTGCATTTTTACAGCAGTGTTGATCGGCAGGAGAAATGTACTTAAATGTGTAATTTCAATGTATTTCAGTGACATGCCATATTGTACCAGGTATAACATAGGGTGTGTGTGTGTGTGGGTGGTTGATCACATCTTTGTGGTTGATAAGCTGTGTGATGAAGGATGTGTATTGTGCATTGAATTACAGCTATTGAATTTTGTGGCAGAATTAAAGACTTTATTAATGGAAAGTAATAAATTGTTTGAAATGATTGTGAGACACATTTTGGGTTCATGTCAGTGAGATCCTCCTCTGTTGGTTAGCATGATACTCACAACAGGAACCCAACTACATTTGAACTGTTTCATGTGCAATAAATGTTTCTGTATACATGTATATGAATGGGATGCATGGGGTCTGGGTGCAGTGTAATTTCTGTAAAATAAAGAGAATGACTTCTGCATTATTTTGGTTTTATGCAATATTTCAGTGGTAAGATAAGGCCAGTGATGTGACTGAACACTCACTGTCAGGGTAGTGGAAGGAATGAGGAACATAGTGAGTAACAGTTCACTTTGCTGTAACAGCAGAACACCACAGTGGTTCTCAAAGTGAACTGAAGTCATGAAGTGATGATCCAGGTTCTGCTAGCTTGTTTTATTCAATGCAATCTCTCGTTGAGTTTCTTTCAGAGATCTTTGTGAAAAAGTGACACTTGTTCTTGGGTTTTACTGTCTATAATATAAATTTACTGCAGACTCTGCCACTAAAATCCAAGTGCCTCATAATACCATAGTTAAAAGAACTACACTTGTTTATTGCCAATGCATGAGCATATTGTAATGCAACTTAAAACCTTTCCTGACTCGCTCAGTCGCCTAAGTTTAGCTCTGTCTGACCCAAACAGCTGATCTGCAGCATAATGCAATGTGCGCCATAGGTGTGGATATGGTGGTTCAATGGTTGAGAAAATGTAGCGCCAAAAGAAAATGGCTGTTTGGCAGAAAGATAAAGTGGTGGAAATATTAAATATAGAGTGTATACATTATTGCAGCTGGCCCTGTCCACAGCAGTAAATTACTCAGCTTCTGTGGTGGTGCTCCTGACTTCTTGTCCAAACTGGGAGTACACTGACTCAAATCTTCTGCAGGTCTGGATGTGAAGAAGCAGCCCTTAACCTGATGTCTGACCACCAGACAGCTGCTTGAACCCTGGAGCCAAACTCTGTTTTTCTACTAAATCTCTTGGGAATTTATAGGAACAATGTGTGGGTGATGAAGACATACTTATGGCCAAACATACTTTAAGATGACAACTTTTGTAGTGTTGTGAGAGTGGTAGCAGAAAGTCCTTGCAACAGAAACTACTTTTTCCTTCCATAGACCTTTTTCACAGCAGACATTTCAACTTGTCATAGCAGGAAGGACACAGGTGATACTGATTAAAGGTTCTGTAAACGATCATCACTGCCACTAGATGTCGTACTAGACCACCAGCATATCAGACTGTTGGGTACACCTCTGGACATAACCCCCCTCCCCTCCTGGCATGTTCTCACACAGCAGGCTGTTACAAAGCACGGTGAAAGCGGCCACTAAACACAAAAGAAGCACAACTGAATAAAGTTACCATGTAAACAAGAGCCAACAAAAAAACAATATAACCACAACCATTAGCCCATGCTTGCATTGCAGTGATATGCCCCACAGCAATGCTGACAGCTAGCCAGCTAGCAACAGCAACATTTGCCAAACAAATTCAAAATAAAGGGTAACAGCATCTGAGGCCTTCGGCTGTCATTAAGTTGGACCAGTGTGTTAGCATAATAATTTACAGTATAATATGATGCATATCATCGAGCTGGTTTATAGAGGTGATAAGAGCAATGACACTTAACCAAAACAGTAATGTGTTATAAATCCCAACCATTAGTTAACGACTAGCTAGCTCCATAGAGCTGTAATGGCAGATAATTCTCTGTGGGTCGATCAATACAAATGACCCCTCTCATATTACCCTCTGTCATTTGAGCCATTGTTAATAGAAGCTATTGGATTTCCAGTCTATATTGCAAGAATTATCCCTAGAAACATAACATACCATACAGTAGTAATAATCCCAAAACAATTAGGCCTACATGTAGCAGATAAGATAAAACGTAACAGTGTTTATTGATGCTGTGCATTTACTTCATTTCATCATCTGTATCTGACGATACACAACTCCAAATTCAGGCATTTTGACTTGAGTTTAAAACAACCAGTGTGATGCTAAGTGATGGCACCAAACATACAGCCACTATTTGTAGAATTTGTACCTCTGTAATTTCAGAAACTACTCCGTACTGGTAGTGTTTACAATAGGGATCAACTGATTATTGGCTTGGCCGATTATTGGTGGTATTGTTATGTTTTCTTAACTGATAGCCGATAAAAAAATCTCTGAGTAGACATGTTACACTTTGTTAACATTTTAAAAGGGGAGGGGGGAACGCCCAGAGGGAATTTCATTACTTCTGGCACACTGTGACCTCACAAAACACATTTTTGGCCATAACTCACAAATTCATACACTAATTATGATGCAATTTAACTCAAATCTCTATAAGGATAACATTAAGTGAATACATTTTACATCCAAATGGTCAAAGGTGAACTAAACTGTGACATCATAATGTTCTGCAAACTCTTTTGGCAATTATTCAATGTTGTAACTCTGGAAGGGGAGATTGTGACCATATTTCCTGCAACTTGGCTGGTTGGCAGAGGCATACAACTGTGAGGTGGTAATTCTAGTTTTCGTTTCTCTCACCTTGACTCCTCTCTCACGCTCTGATCCTCGCCTCAACCAGCACCTTCCATTTGTGGCTGAAACTAGGCCTACTCTCAGTCCTGACACATTAACTGTATCATGTCAGTAACATGAATTAACATTTTTTTCCCATATTAGAAGAAGTAATGATGTCTGCACTCTTTCACCTGTCCTCGCAAACTCTCTTAATAAAAAAATGCAAAAATAATCTGTGATTTGAGACGTTTCTGCGAGAAAAAAAAAAAAAAAAAAAAAAAAAAAAACATACACGATGGGATGTAACGTTAATTTATGGAAACTTTTTATGAAGTTGGGTGCTCTTGGGTGTAAAAGATAATATTCACTTATTTGAATAGCCACAAAATCACGTTGCCACCCCTTTTGCAAGGAGAATATCCAGTGTGTTCTTATTCTTCTTCTTTGGCAATTGCGGAATGGCTCTGCCTAATGCATGGATAACGATACAGCACCACTACATTGCCATAGTGGCGTACAGCCACAGTTGCACTTACAGACGTCAAATCCACGAGTACCGAGAAAACAACTACTAGAATTTTGTTGGGAAGTTGAGGCAGCATCAAATTTGACAGAGGTGGCCACCTCGCAATTCTTTATGCAGGGTGTGGCTTCAGGCTCTCCACTCCACTCACCAATCGGCTCACCCGTTCAGATCTCCACTTTTCACCACATTGTTCCGTTCACCTCAGAGGTACAAACATCGGCCAACTCTCCAGAGTTTTCTTGTGACTATTTTGCTCTTCATGTTTTTTGCCTTGTACTTACTTTGATCTGTTGATCTGCATGTGCCTCAGGTCTAGACCTCAGCCTGCCACCATTCGGCCTTACTCACCGTCTGCCAGCCAAGCCTGCTCTGAAGACGCTCTGCCTCTCACTGCCTGCCCCTCTCCCTCACCACCACCACTACTCCACCTTAGTGCTTGATTCCCTGGCCATCTCCACACTCCTCAGCCCACTCCTCCCTTTCACATTTTTAGCTTCTGTAATATGTAATATATAATATATTACAGAGGTATACCGGTATACTGTAATATATTCTGTAATGTGACCATACCCTTTCTGCACTCTGTCTCTGCATTTGGGTATAGGAAAAAAGCCTTAAATTATGACAGACCCATGGTGCAACTTAACTCACTCAGCTCTATCAGTCAGTCACAGATATTCACAGATGTAGTGCTGGCCCCTAACCGGTACAGCCAACAATGCACAAATTGAATGGCTATATGACTTCCACATGTCTCTGTATCTGTTTTATTCATCTCTAATAGATGGTGTAAAGCAAAGCTTCTTACCTACCCAACACTCACTGACAGATTACATTTAAAGGTTTCCCTTCACATCCAAATGTATGACTAAATGTATCCGATATACACCCCTCTGGCTCCTTTAAGGCCAAACTGGGGTCCAAAGATCACAGGGGAAGTGCAAGTCTTTGTCTGTTCTGAGGCTGTGATGTCAAAACTAGTTCCATTGGGAAAGACTAATTTGCTTAACAAATAAACTTTTATTGACCTTAACAAGATGACTGCCGCGACGTTGGAGCTGGAGAACGCCAAACAGCCACAGGGACAGGCAGACAGGAACCAGGAAGAGAACAGGCAGAACTCGGGGACAGAAGACTGAGGCATTTGCCTGGGCAGAGACGAGGCAGGATGGTCAGAGACAAGCAAGTCGATACCAGGAAGTCAGTCTGGAGAAGAACACTTGAAAGTCTTGCGTGGGTACAAAGAACAATCTGGCAATGAGTGAATTAAGCGGGGATGCATAAATACTGGCTTAATGAGTGATGAGATGCAGCTGGGAGCCCAAGGTGGAGCTGATGAGATAGGTGTGGCTGGCCAGTGGGAGTGAGATGGAGGCAGGGTAAGTGGAAAATTACTGAAGCCCCAGGTGAAGGCAGAGCAAGCTGTGACAGTCTTTCTGACTGACTTATGCTAAGCTTCATATTTGGACATGTTAAATAAAATCATAATGACAAACTCATTGGATCAGCAAAAGACTGTAAATAAAACTATTTAAAAAGATATATTTTTTGGTCCTCAATCAAAAATCATAGGGTACTTCATAGGTGTAGTGCAACACTCCACCACTTCCAAGTGAGGAAATAGAATATTCACAGTTATAATCCAGTGATTATTAAATTCATAAATAATTTTTTCTGCATTTGAAGATCCGATCATCACTAAAACGTGTTTCATGCAAAGGAACCAATGAAAATAAATAGACTGGTTAAAGTTGTCATATTGACATGTAAGTCATACTGGTGGATTTCGAGAGGCCAACTCATGCATTGAGTAACAGGCAAGAAAACATTCTACCTTAAAAGTTAATCATAGCTGCCGATAGCCTCTGAGCAGCACAGTGAATTAAAGAGAATTAAAGATATGATTTTTTTTAAATAATATATTTATATATAGATATAGATATATCACGAGCAAACTAAGCAGTCAACGACATGACTCCGCATTTCCACCTTGGAATTTCAGTGAACCAATGTCAGTCTCATAAAAACGGATTCAGACAGCCAGGAATGCATACGTCATATACGTATGGAACCAATCCCTTCAACTTGCGGGGACAGGGGCGGGGCTAAGCAAACCTGAAACCTTATCCGAAG